GGTGAGTGTTTGAAAAAAGTTTTACCATTTATTTTTAGACTAATTTTTTAATGTTTGTGCTTAAAGAACGTTGTTTAAATTGTTAGGAGTCTTCAACACTTAATTTCAGCAAAATTCAATTAAAAAATCATGTTATAGATGACAGAAAAATATCAACATCTGTTTTCAATAACTTGGTTTTCATAGCAAATCTGAGAGGTGCAAATGTTTAGCTTGATTTAAGTATTACATAATAAAATACATCGTTGTACAATCATTTTGATGGTTGTAAATTTATTTAGCACACTCAGTTTTATATATATTTAGTCTGTTTACCGTTTAACTCCTGTCCCAATCTAATCTAGTGGATTCAAAAAAAAGGGACCGCGCTGGAAACATGAGTGGATTAAAAGGATCAGCCCTTTTTTGAATTAATAGTTGGTAAGTATAATGTGCTCCTTTCAGCTAATTAAGTTTCGTTTGCTTTTTTTGTATTACATTTAAGCAATAGACTGTTTTTTATGTTCACTCGTTTTTTAGAAGTGGTAACCAGCTAGAAGTCATAACCTTCTCGTATGAAAGGTGAAATTGTTAATTTTATTCAGCAACGCCAAGAAACAGAGCTCGCTTAAGAAACAGAAAAGAAAGAGAAAGATGAAAATATATTCTTCAATACTGTTGTTTTATTTATAAATTATTCTCCTATGTTTAAACATGTAAAAGATGTAGAAAATGCTTCTTCTTTTATATTGACATCTAAAAGAGGTTTTTTTTCTCGACATAGGAATAAGCTTTTTGTCATACTTTGTATGAAGAGCTTTTATCATTTTCATTTGATAGAAACAGCTTTTCATATAAGAAAAGTAGGAATACTATAGTGTATAGGATACTATAGTATACTAATAAGTATGGGAAAAAAGTCGTTCCGACCCCGAGAAAAAACACTTTTTTAGATTTGCATATTAGACTAAAAAAAAGCATCTTAAAGGCGGATTTTTTTATGTCTTTTCATAACAAGATTAAGATAAAAAAAGACGTCTTTTCGATGTCGAAAAAAGATGTCTTTTAGATTTGCATAATCGATTAAAAAAAGACGTCTTAAAGACATCGTAAAGAAGACTTTTAAAGACGTCTTTTTGACGTCTTTTTTCCCACTGGGTGGTAAGGGAAAATATGTTCCGGATTTTTCCGGATATTCTACATAAACTATAATTTCCGGATTTTTAAAAAAATGACCTGGATGATCACTGAACGTCGTAGTTTTCAACGTCGGATTTTGTTTCCGATTCCACCAAATTTCAATGTTGTTTCAACGTGGCATATGGTCCGTTTGCGACGTTGTTTTAACGTTATTTCAACGTCATTGTGCCTGCTGGGACTGGCATAAGTGCGAACTGTATGTGCGAATTGGCATAAGTGCGCCGAACAAGTTTGCAAACATTGGCATAAGTGCGAATCAGCATATGTGCGAACTGGCATAAGTGCGACGCAGTTACAAAAACTGGCATACGTGCGAACTGACATAACTGCAAATTGGCATAAGCGCGCCAAATAAATTGGCATAAGTGCGCCAAATCGGCATAAGTGCGCCAAATCGGCATAAGTGCGCCAAATCGGCATAAGTGCGCCAAATAAAATTTCAAATATTATAAAAATTAGTATTTCGCACTTATGCCAATTCGCATTTATGCCAGTTCGAATGTTTGCAAATTTATTTAGCGCACTTATGCCAATTCGCAGTTATGCCAGTTCGCACTTATGCCAGTTTTTGTAACTGCTTCGCACTTATGCCAGTTTGCACTTATGCCAATACGCACTTATGCCAATATTTGCAAAATGTTTTGGCGCGCTTATGCCTATTCGCACATATGCTAGTTCGCACTCATGCCACGCTTCGCACTTATGCCAGTTCGCACATATGCCAATTCACACTTATGCCAGTTCGCGCTTACGCCATTCGCACTTATGTCAGTTCGCACTTATGAAGTTTGCGCTTATTTAGTCGTCCCACGGTGTCTTACTTAAAGAGCGCCATGGTGGAATTCTACTCCTCAGGTTGTTTAAGTCCAGTCTCGGTTTTACATCGATTATCTGCGGGTGACGTATTAATTTGTCGTTCAGTTCTCGCGGGATAATTTTAAAACGATGTTTTACAATATAGCGGTGACTTCTAGACTTAAAGCCCGACAAGAAGGTTTTTTCAGCAATTATTAATTTTTCAAATATATATCATGAGTACTTAACATGCTATGAATTATCATATAATACAATGAATTCATAACAAACCATATTATTTATTGTTCAAATCTTAAATATTACGAATTATTAATCTACCCGACAAATTAATTCTGTTGTTACGACCCATCAAAAAGCCATTAAATACAAACCGTTAAGTATTGTCGAATTCCTGACATTTAAGAGTTTTTCGTTGTTAGAAATGACAAAAGGTCGGATTTTCTGCCTGACCTTCTAGATAAAATTATGGATAAATGGTAGAATACAATACCAATGTCGTTTAGGTCGCATATAACTAGAAAAGTTGTTACTAACAATTTAATTGCTTATTTTGTCATATATTCATCTTTTAGTTAAAGGACAATTTAAGTCAACCTCCATAGTATCGTCAATAATATTTTTTTTAACTTTGCACAACTTTTGCTAAGTATTATTCACTTAAGACAACAACTTTTTTAAAAAAAATTTATTTAAAAGAAATGTCTAGAAGATAAGTCGAACTACCTTAAAAATTTGGACTGACCTTAAAGAACCTGAGTAAGGTGAGACGATTTTTTCCATTAACAAAAACAAGTAAACTAATTGGATAAAATAAATCACGCAGTTTCTTTTATCCAATCAAAGACACTCCCGATTGCTTTTTAAAATAACCAATCAAACAAAGATAAAATGAGTAATTTAAATTTAAATTAAAATTTCAATGTAGTTATTTATTATTATTTTTTTAGCCAGCCTGGACAACCCGGCCAGCCCGATTCATATATACAGCACCTTGATAACTAGCAGCCGTGATAAAGCACCTTGATAAAGCAGCTGTGGCGCAGTGGTAGCGCACTTGCCTTAGAAACATAAGATCTGTGGTTCAAACCCCACCATTGGGCAAGTTTTGCGACATCGGTTGGGAAGGAGGCGTGAACTTTCTATTAAATGCTATTCCGTGGTGCTCTGTGATAAGACCGTAAGAACTTCTTGGAGCACCTTAATCAACTTAAAAAAAAAAAAAAAAAAAAAAAACTTTGATTACTAAAAAAAAGTTAAAAAGTAATTAAACAAAAAATATTGTAGATATTATTACTGTTAAGTTTTGCGTTAATCGTTCCAAATAATATTTTTTATTAATCGCAACGTAATTTGATTGAGAGCGATAAGAAGCAAAAAGACGTCAAATAAAAGCAATAGAAAAATAAAATCAAAGAAAAATAAAAAGATTCTTTTTTTTGTTATTAAATTTTGATTCAATTACCGCCATTTTTTAAAAACGTGGGTTTATTTTCATTTTAACAAATTCAGCCTAGTTTCACAATGTTTCATGAAACGAACCGTTGTAACGATGTTTTTATTTCAAAAGCAGATTTTTACGTACGTTTATTGCAACGGATTATATTATTTTCCTTTTTAGGTAAAAAACGAAAACTTTTATATGGCCTCTGCTTCGTGTTTACTCATTTTTTAAAAAATAATGATTTTTACTAAAGATTTTTTTTTTACTAAAAAAGACATCTAATTGTTTATAGCATTAGTTCAGGACAAAACTTAGAGAAACACTTTGTGTGGAGGAAGAAGAGGGGGAGAAAGGTACAGACATTAGTGAACCGGAGGTGGTCAAAATTAAATATAAACAGCGTGACGTAGATTATGGATAACCGCTATAAAAGAAACAGTTTATAAATCAGAATTCAAACTCATATCCCACAATTTGCTATTAGTGTGCAATTATCTAGTAACGTACTGAATAGGGTTGAATAATTAATTACATAAGTTAATCTAAGCACAAACAAACTTTTTTATTAGAATAATCTTTTCTTATGTTACTTTCGATATATGCGCTTTGTAACGCCGTTGTTTTATTTAAAAATGTTTACAATCATAAACTAATGTTTTAATTTTTCAACATTTTATAGCTGGGAAAGTATATACAAAAAAATTGTAGATTAATTTTACTTGTTTTTATGTTGTAAATAAAAAAATAATGTTAATAGTTTATAAAATAACAACAACCATTTATATAGTAACAATAGCATATATATATATGATATATATATGATATATATATGATATATATATGATATATATGATATATATATGATATATATATATGATATATATATATATATATATATATATATATATATATATATATATATATATATATATATATATATATATATATATATATATATATATATATATATATATATATGTCCTTTTTCCTAAATATATATTTCCTCATTCCTTATACTTACCGTCGGTTTTGCCTTGCGAATTCTATAACTTTTGAAAAAACATTTAGACATTACCACCTGTCTGAATTTTATTAACTTTTAAAAATAATAATTTTTTTAATTAAAAATACATTGAAATAAATTTAAACAAAAAACCATGTAAAAATTAAGTTTTTTTTTTTTTTTAAAAATTGGAAGTTTTTTATGCATTAAAATGCAATAGTGATTTTTGTATAAAATAACAATTATTTTTAAAATTTTTGAACAATGTTACTTTTTAAACCTAACTTAGCATACTTTAAAAAAAGTATGCCAAAAAGTATGCCAAATTTTTTTTTTTTTTTGCATTCTTGTATCAATCTTGATATTTAGGTGGCCTCTCAAAATTTAATTAAATTTTCTAATATTTTATAATATTTCATGCAAAGCTAAGTAGGCAAACATATTTGTATATGAAAGATATATTTGTTGCATTTCATTTTGTATTTATCTATATATATTTACTAATTATTGATTATAAAAATTCTATTTTAAGAAGTATTTTTTGCTTGTAAAAAAATTTAGGTGGAGATTTATGAACATCAAGGCACTACTATTTGTGTGTATTGCTTTAGTATATAAATCATACAAAAGTGCAAGGGGTATATCCACCCTATTTACATTATACATATCAGAAATACATGCATCAGATATACATATCTAAAAACTTGTTTTGTTGATATTTTTAATGCCACCTGTTGAAGATTTCAACTACACCGCTTTAAATCATCAAGCTGGTGGTCATCACAACAAAAAGGGAGTTAGATGTATGTAAATATATTTTATAATGCTAATTTCAAACTATTGACATTATTTAATTTATAATTCTTAAAAATTTAACTGTGTAATGTATATAAATTTGAAAAAATGTTGTCAGCTATAATGTTTCTCATTTCTTTACACTATGTCCTTGGAAGACATCAATTTTGAATATTTTCCTTTGCAGATAGCCAATTTAGCTGCAGTATACTTCTGTTTTATAAATGTGCAGTAAATAGTATAGTAAGTCTTATAAATGTGTTCAGAAAAAATTAAAATATATTCAATTTTAATACCAAGGTATTTTGTACATTCACTGAACTTTACTATTTTATTTTTCAACATGACACTTAGATTATAATATTTTCCAGTAATGTATTTTAGAAGTAAAGTATTTCACTTCTAAACTTGTATTCTGCAAACTCAAAAACATTTTTTATTCTTGATATACTTAATAAAATAAAGCATTCGTAATTGTCATCATTATTCGGATAAAATCCTTGAAGATATTATGAATACTTGGGCATCATATAGAGTTCTAACTATGCAAATAATAATAAAAAAAATTAGCACCTAGGTTTTATAGTAAGTTTAAAAAGAAAGCACTTCTTTTTAAAGCTGTCTTAAAAGTAAAAAAATATTTGCTGTCTTATAAGTAAAAAAATATTTATGATTGTAGTACTTATTATTTATTTTTACTTAAAAATAGATGAAAATAAATTAATTCAACTAGAATGGACATGCTATTTTAGTTTATTTAGTGTTGTGGTACTGACAACTACCAATTTTAGAAAGGCATTACAGCTAATACTAAAATGTTAGTAATTAATTGTGGTGCTCTATAGCAGCTACAGTTTTCCATACAATGGCCAGCAACACATGTAATAAAAATAATTGTATTAGCATTGTAGATAATTAGGTTAGGATTTATTGGTTATTGGCAGAAG